GCCCTTGTTTTTTCTTTTTCTTTTTATTTTTGCATGTTATCACTGTGCCCGTTTTTTGCTTTTATTCTTTGTTCCGCAAAGTGCGCTCTTTTAGTTTGTAGTGATGTGACAATATATTATATAATATAGGTGAGTGATAGTCTACTTTGATTTTGGTTAAGGTGGATTATCACTTACAGTGTAATCAGTGAGGGGATTCTACAGACTGTTGAGGGTTCAGCCTCCTGATGAGTCGGTGAAACTCCGACGCAACAGTTTGTCACAGCCCCTCGTTTGTTGTCCTCTTCTCCCTCTCTGCCTACAGTTTACCGGGCAGTTCTATTTGACGATATATACATAAATTTAATATTATGTTTTATTTTTAATTTTAATTTGGCAAAGAATTTTGATCCGACCCGGAGGCAAAAGTTGTTCGGTTTCTATAAACCATTCAAATTTCAAACAGCCGGCGTTGCTTTGCCGGGGGAGTCTTGCTGAGCGTGTGCGCTGCGGCGAACTTTTGTGAAGGACACGGGCGTGATTCCTGGCATAATAATAATAATAATCATGACTCCTTTTTCCCCCAAAAAAATCAAATTGTTCAGTATGTTTTTCTGCACAAAGTACTTTGTTTTAGGTGTTGGGGGGCTGTGTCGCCATGATGGTTGGAGGTGGTGGTGGTGCCTTCGACGAATCGATGGGCATTTTTTTTTAAGATGCAGTTTTCTCGCCGGCGGACTGAATGGAAAGCATGTTCTGCTATGACTGCTCAGGATTGGTGTGAAGCATGACGGTCACATCTGTCCGTTGATAAACAGATCACGCGTTCAAAGCCTACTGCGTACAACGGAAAAGGGGCTAACCCCGTTGGATTCCCCCCCCGTTGACGGGTGCCCATCAATAGTGCCTTCTGACATGGCTACCTGTCACAGGATTGGCTAGGCTTTGATTGAATTCGAAGCCCATCGAAATTGGTTGTGAGACGGCGCACGGTAAAAATAGGGACAAAAAGCTATGTTATCTACAGAAGAGTTTATGCCCAATGGATTATTAGAAGTTGGAACAATATTGATGTAAAGCAGCAATATGAAGAATACGAGCACCTGCAATTATAAAAGGAAGTAAGTAATGAAGACTAAAAAAGCGATTATTAACCTTAAAACCATCTCATTGCTGATATGGCTTGGCTTCTGAACCATACGTGAGACTTTTGCCTCATATGGCTCTTCTCAGTATCTATATTGATATTTGCTCTTTCTTCTTTCTTCTTTCTTCTTTCTTCTTTCTTCTTCTTCTTCTTCTTCTTCTTCTTCTTCTTCTTTCTGCGCCGTCTTTCTTCTTCTTTTTGAGATTATAAAGTGTGAGGAATGGCTGTGTGTTTTTGTGTGGAGCTGTGTGCTAAATATGACACCGCCCACGGCAGACACAACGCTTGAAACCTTGTCTGCTTTCGGCGCTGGGGCTAGCTGATTGCTTTGCTGTGATGCACTTCCGACTGCTTTGTTGATCTTGGCTTTTTTAAACATATTATTGTATGTAATATAATGTAACAAAGTTTAATAAACTAATAATATTTTTATCTTCCCCTCTGCTCTACTGCTCTTAAACAGAACGGAGAACTCGAAGAGTTGCTGAGGAGTGTACGGCAGAAGAAGGCTGGGGGTACCAGCAATTGAGCGCTCGGAACTGGAAAATTTCCCAGATGGGCATGGTGCAGTGGAGGGGACAGATCATGGGAATGAATCGAGTCGTTTTGTGCGACTCAATTCATTCCCACGGCAGGATTGTGGAGGTGAGGAGATGGTGGTGATCCGCAAAAACAACGTGGGAATGGATCGAGTCGCAAATTCGCAATGTGCCAGAAGAAAGTTGGTCATTGACTGTGTCTGAGAGACTGTGAAGAAAGTGGGAGTGAGTGTATGTGAGTTTATGTGAGTGGAAGCGACAAGTCCTGTGCGATGTTTGGCTGCTGGGACATTTCACTGCATTGGATGGGCCGGTCAATCGCATTCTGAATTGAATCGCAGAACTTCGAGAAGGAGCATGTACCCGTGTGTGCGAAGCGAGTACAGAAGAGAGGAGAGTGAGAGTGTATGTGAGCCACGGTGACAAACCCTGTGGGATGCTTGGCTGCTGAGACGTTGTGCGGTATGAGAGAGGGGGGTCAGTCCCATTCTACTGAGTTGAAGTGCAGAACAAGCATGCACGAGTGTCTGCGAAGCGAGAGTACGGAAAGAGCTGAGGCAACGGCAGAATGCTGCAGATTGTGGAGGGTTGGGAGTTGGAGGAGGAAGTGAGTGTTAGGTGCAGTCACAAAGAGTAATATGCTGAAGCAGACTGCGGGGGGAGGGGGATGAGCATGCGGAAAGGAAGCAAAAACAACTGCAAGGGGTGGGAGGAGGGAGGAGGGAGGAGGGAGGAGGGAGGAGGTTCATTGCCCTGCAGATCAGGATGCGTAGGGAATTGACGACAAAGGCGGTTGCGTAATAGTGTGCTTGTTATATCAGCCACATAACACAAAACGAGCAATTCGGTGAGAGTGGGAGCGAGCAGTGAGTCTGTCCTACGACTGCTTGAAAGTCGGAAACTTGCACCTCAAGCTGCACCCAGGTGCGCACATCTTTTGTAGTGTCTATGTGAAAGGTTAGGGCTGCGAGAAATTGGAGAGAGACAGGCGAGTGATGGCACTGGATGAGCATTGCGTTGTTGGGTGGAGGGGGTGGGTGGCTCTTGCCACTGCATCGATCCATCGAAAAGGCAATGTGACAGAGTGTTGGCTGCACTTTTTGTCCACTTCCGAACACATAGCACATGTTATCGGTCATAACACATAGCAGCCATCTCTGAATTATGAACTTTCATGGTTAGCTTCGCAGCACATGGCAACCATCTCTGCCTTTTTTGGGAGAGCTACTGAGCATTGAGTCGCGAAAGGTTGATTGAAAGTTAAGAGCAGGTGTCGGCAGCGAATGTGATGAGAGCACTCTCTCAAAAAAGTGCTTGGGTAGGAATCCAGATTGGGATAGATTGTGAACTGGCATCTGGAGGGGAACTTGGCAACATACATACATACGTGTGTGTGTGTGTGTGTGTGTTGTCATATTCGCTATACTTTTAAAAAAAGGCATGACTGTACCGAACAGACTGTTTCGTCGGACTTTCACCGACTCATCCGGAGGTTGAACCTGGACAGACAGCCTGCCCAGGATTCATGTGACTGATGAATAACGACTCCTGACCACATTGCCCAAAGAGGAGTTAGCGATATCCACCCTTGAGAGAGAGAACAAGTGGTCGTCTTTACTCACGCCAACCAACCTTGCAATCCTAGCAGGTCTGAACCTGGTCCAAACCCTTGACAAGAAGGGTAGTAAAGTCTGTGTGTGTGTGTGTGTGTGTGTGTGTGTGTGTGTGTGTGTGTGTGTGTGAGAGAGAGAGAGAGAGAGAGAAAGAGAGAGAGAGTAGTGTCAGTTGGACTTGTAGGGGCATGCGTTCTCAGACGAGGAGGGCGTTAGTGGTAATTGTGGCTCATCAATATGTCCTGAAAGTTCCTTGTTGGCAGTTGTGCTAGAATTTTACGCGAGTGTTTGAACTTTGAAATGACAGCATAATGCTTGTAGTCCTGTGAGATTCCACAAGTACGACGAATGTGGTCAAGCCGTCAAGCGGTCGACAATCTGTCATTCAACATCCAAAGATGTGTAAGCAGAGCAGAGCAGAGTGCTGTGTATGCAGCTCCAAGGGTTCAATTATTTACCTTAACTGAACAGATTCAAGTCCTTTTGAGTAAATTCAAGTCCTTTGAGTCCGTCGAGTCCTCTACGGAGTCCTTTTCAGTCCGCTGAGTCCGTTTGAGTCCTTTTGAGTGTCTTGAGCGTGCTGGGTCTGGTGGAGTCCTTGTCCATCGAGTCCGTTGAGTCAGTGGAGTGAGTTGAATTGGGTAAATGAGTCGAATCACAATTATGATCCATGGATCATGTGTGTACGCCGGGGACCCGGACACCGGACCAGTCCAGACGTCCCGCCGGACCCGTGTCTGGACTACTACAGACCGTCCGGATTGATTTTTTTTTTTTTTTTTTTTAAGTTTTCTAAATTTTGAACTTTTTTTTTCTGATTAAAAAAACGGTTTTATTTTTTTTCCCCCCTTGGATTTGGTTTTTGTATTGCAATGCTGCACAACATATCTTCTTTAAGTTTTTTTTCAGTTTTTTTAAGGTTTTTGTATTGCAATGCTGCACAACATATCTTCTTTAAGTTTTTTTTTCAGTTTTTTTAACTTTTTTCAGTTCTTTTTTTTTTTTTTTTTTTAAGTCGGACTTTTTTGGAGGGTGGGGTTGGAGGGATGTATCCGGACACTCTGGACTGGACTCCAGACCTTGGACATCCAGACCCAGACCGTCTGCACTGCGGTCCGGACGTCCGGATCATAGCCATGGAATTATCCCTGAGGGCCTTAACCGATTTGGTCTGACCTGTTGTTCCACTGACCCTGGTGTTTTTGGGCATACGGGGAACCCCGTAGCAGCCAGAACCCCGGTGTTTCCAACCTTGGTGGAGTCTGTTGAGTTGGTGGAGCCAGTTGAGTCCGTTGATTCCGTTGATTCCGTTGAGTCAGTGAAGTGAGTTGAGTTGGTTAAATGAGCTGAACAGCAATCAGTGGTCACGGTGAATCACAGCGGACCCCGGGCATCACCAGGCACAGAAATTGAATTGTGATCTCACAGCAGTCAGCAGCAGCAGCTGCATTGTTTTACAGAGTGCTGCAGTAATTGAATTGTGACCTCATCTCTCTCTCTCTCTCTCTCTCTCTCTCTCTCTCTCTCTCTCTCTCTCTCTCTCTCTCTCTCTCTCTCTTATCCCGTGACTCGTTCCTCCACAGGCACTTGACCTCTGCCCAGGACCACCACCATCTCCTCCGGTTTCATGGGCAAGCAGCCTGGCTATGGCCGCTGCGCCGAGCTGCATCCAGCCTCCTCCCTGCGCCCCATGCGCTCGTCCTGGTCTGGCTAGCGCCCGACCTCGCGGCGCACTCCAGCAGCGTCGTCTCCCAAGCACCCAGCCAGAATGTCGTCTGACCAGAGGCCGGCGCTTTCCTTTATGGGAAGTGCTGGCTGGTGAGGCGGCGGCCTGGCTGGGTCTGGTATGCTCTGTCCCAGTAGCGGCGCCCCAGGGCCCCCTTGCAAAATGTGCCTGGGCCCTGGGGCACAAACTGTAAGGGTCCTGGGCCTCAGCATCTGAGGCTGGCAGCATCTTCAACTGTCGGGCCCTACCAGGTAGTTGAAGATCATGCTGTGATGCAGCATCCAGCACGTGGGCCCGTTCTGGAAGGACTCGTCCAGCAACTGATTCAGCCCCCGCTGTCGTGCTCAACCACCCCCACCGAGCACAGCGGAGTGTCTGTAACCACCTTCCACGGCCCCCCCAGGCCTCTCTACTCGCTGAAAATAGGCTGAAGGTCCGACGAAGGAAACAAATACAGGCCCGCCTTGACTGAGGGTGGGCACTGGTGGCCTTCCTGACCTGCCAAGGGACTCAGGTCCACGCACTTTGCTTTTTTTTTTTTTTTGGTTAGTGGTTAGTGACAGCGAGATGAGTGCGCAGCCATAGCCATGACTCCTCATATTGGTGTCAAACAACCCGGATCATTTTGCGTGTGCCTGGCTGTTGTATTGGGCTCGTGGAAACTTCTGGTCCCCGTCCACGTGGACGTAAATTTGCGACCGGCATTTTCATTTTTTCTTCAGTTGCATATCATGAGAAGACGTTCAAAAACGATTTCTTCGAATTTCGGATTTCCAGTCAAGCGAGCGCAAGTGTGATTGATTGATGTATTGATCGGCTTGCTGTCTGGATGAGCATGATTTTAATTAGTGATTGCTTGTTGTGTGATTGATTTATTGATTGATTGATTGGCTTGCTGAGTGAATGAGCATGATTAATGAGTAATTTAAGTGCTGTTTGATCGATTGATTGATTACCTCCTGTTGTCTGTTTCATTCATTGATTACCTCCTGTTGTGTGATTGATTACCTGTGTGAATCAGTGTGTGATTGATTACCTGTGTGAATCAGTGTGTGATTGATTACCTGTTGTTTGGTTACGGCGAGTGTGCATGAGCGTTAATTTGAAAAAAAAGAAAAAGGAAAACAGAGAATCATGGTATCCTCTGTGTGTTTCGCACAATTCTCTTTTCCTGTTATTGCCATCGATAATATTTATTATTTACTATTATCTAGAGAAAAGCCAGATCATAGCCCATCATTTTATTTTTATTTTTATTTTTTCCCATTGTTCTACATGCCTGAAAATCTTATTACTCTCAGGCTGTTCCACATTACGAACCCCTTTTTTTAGTATTTATTTAATTCTATTATGACCCCCCCTTTTTTGTCTTTTTTTAGTACTCTACATCTGTGAATGGTGTAGACATACCACAAACGTAAATAAACAGATTCAGAGGTCGACTCTCCTCGCCTCGTGAACATAATAAGATTAGAGGCCATTGCCCCCTTCCTCTTCCCCTTCCCCCTCCCCCCCCCTCTTTTCAACTGGACGGATCCTTCTGAGGGGTACCCCCCCTACCTGCGGGCTATACCCCGTACAAGGTCCCTTTTACATCCTTGTGTACCTGACTGATGCCTCAAGGGGTTTCGGCCCTTTTGTTCCTGCATCTTGTTTTAGCTACCTTCTTCACCCGACTACAACGTACGGTCATTATTGCTGTATTTGGACTGAAACATACCCCAAATACAGCTATGATGACCGTACGTTGTATCCGGATGAAGAAGAGTATATCTCAACAAAGTTTTAGCTATGGCTGAACTTGATGACGTACTCGATGAGTTTTAGCTATGTCTGAACAAATCCGTTGTCTACCGTCTTTACAGACTTCACCCGAATACAATGTACGGTTATTATAACTGTATTTGGGGCAACTTCGAGTCCACGTACAGCGATAATGATGGTAGTTAGTAGTTTAGTAACTTTAGTCCTTACCCATGCAATTGGTTTGCGGAGTAGCTAGCACATTCAGGTCACCTGGTCAGCAATTTGCCACTTCACGAAAATAGGGCCAGTCTGAGTGTGGGATATGGAATATTGAAAGGCTGCTGCCGTTATTATAGTTGAAGAAAAAAGAAAAAAAATGACAACAAACAGACAATCCTGAAAAAGAAAAAGAAGAAAAATGACAACAAACAGACAATCCCGAAAAAGAAAAAGAAGAGTTGGTGAAAGTACTGCCCCTTGGGATCCGTCTGCTGCGTGACTGGGTGGTGCTGCCAGTGAGCAGAAGCACCCCTGAGGGAAGGATAGGGGCTGCAGGGGTGGGTCGACTCATAGCAGGCCCCCCCCCTTGTTAGGGGTCTAGTGCCACAAGGGAAAGGCTGTTCCTTGCTCTCTCTTTAGCACTTGTGCCGCCTTGCTTGCTGGCAATAAGCAACCGGACTGGTGCCCCCCAGAATAGAAGGGGCGGTGTGTTACCAAAAAAAAAAGGAAAAAAAAAAAAAAAAAANTTTTTTTTTTTTTTTTTTTTTTTTTTTTTTTTTTTTTTTTTTTAATTTTAAACCAAAAGAAAATGGCCCAGTGCCCAAGACTCCAATTACGAAATTGATTAAAATGCGTACACACGCATGCCTCTTCCTAGTCTTCCCATTAGGCCTGGAAGAGCTTCAGCCACTGCTCCCCTGGAGACAGCTTCCCTGTATGACACAAATATAGCATGAGCAAGGGGCATTGATTGCTTCCCCGGTAACGAAGGATTAACCCCATTGTGTGCAGAATCAAGCTCTACCGAAGTTACCCCTACTTTAACCATTCTGCACCGTGAGGAGTGGGGGAGCTTAGAAGAGGGCAAAGCCGCAAAGAGGATTATAACAGGGAAAAGAGGGTCTACTAATTCATTAGTAAGTACGACAAATGAACAGTAGTTACCCCAACCCAGCCCTCTTTTCCCTTTTACCCCTTCTTTGTGGTAACTACTGTTTCCCCTGAGCAACAGTAGTTACCGTGTGAGCAACAGTAGTTACCGTGAGGAGGCGGGGAGCTTGGAAGAGGGCAAAGAGGATGATAACTGCTCTCCTCAATTACCCCTTCTTTGTGGTAACTACTGTTTCCCCCTGTCTCTTATACACATCTAGATGTGTATAAGAGACAGGTGTGAGCAACAGTAGTTACCGTGAGGAGGCGGGGAGCTTGGAAGAGGGCAAAGAGGATGATAACTGCTCTCCTCAATTACCCCTTCTTTGTGGTAACTACTGTTTCCCCTGAGCAAGAAACAGTAGTTACCACAAACCCAGCCCAAAGGGGAGCACACAAATTGAAAGAAAATTTGAATCTATGCCTGCAAATCATCATACCAAATCATGGCAGAGCACACATACTGGAACACCCTAGCTATGAGAGAACATGACATGGACCTCCTTTCTAACAAATGAAGTCAACCACCAACCCGAAGGGAGGGGACACTAATTAGGATAGAACGTCGATAAAAGCACATCGCTAATTGAGACCCTTCCCCGCAGAAAGGGAGGCGGCAAGACGAGATTCAATCACTCTACTTCCCCACACTCTCCTCGCAGGGAAGAAAACCACCGCATACATCTCTCCATCCCCCTGTCCATCCCATGGAAATGACCCCTCCCTCTCCTTGCCCACCTTACCTCCCCCCACCGTCAGATCTGGCCGATTCCACTCGCGTTTGTGTAAAAGGTGCAAGAAGAGATCCGGGATGCACCACGCAACCGCCAGCCGAGAACCCTCGCCCATCCCCTGGCTCCATTGCGAGCACCGTTTCGAGGGCGC